TTGACATATACCAACTGTCCATACTATGTGGAGAGATGGAAAGATTGGAGGATATAAAAAGCATTGAAAATTGTTATGGACACTGAGGACACAGTGCAAGGAGGGTGGGAGAGGGGAAGAGTGGAGGGAAGGAAATCAGGATCAGGGAGAAAAATAAAGAAGTAAGACAGTTATGGGACACAGAAATGGTTTATTATCTGTTGATGATAACGTGTATAGTATTCTAAACTGGACTGGTCTGAGGTGTATTTCATGTTGGGTAAATTCTCTTTACAACCTAAATGATGTATAGTGATTGAATGTATAAAATAATAATAAAAGAAAGAAAATATGGTTTGCTTAAAATAGTTTGAGAGCTGTGGGAGGGGAGACCACTTGGAGAAGATGATTTGTAGTTTCTACACCTTTTCTTTCTTTCTTTCTTCTTTCTTTCTCTCTCTCTGTCTCTCTCTTTCCTTCTTTCTTTTAAAATTTTTGCCATAGGGCACGTGCACTCACTGGAAAGGACAGAGAAAGACAGTGTGAGAGAAAGCGAGAAATCACTCCCCACGGGAAATGGTCACGCTGCAATTCTTTCTCCTCCATTTTCGTCCTGGGATTTTGGGCACACATGCACACATGCCTGCCATGACTTTCAAGCCACTAGGTCCAAGACTCAAACTGCAGTTAGCCAGGTGGGAGTCCAGCATCTTAACCACTTGCTGGCCCCAACTTCTCCATCATATTGTACATACTATGAGCCTACTTTTATTTATGAAGAGATTGTCTTAACTTTTTTGGTAGGATGGTTTTGATTTTGGATATTCTATTTTATAATCAGATTATGGATCAGACACTGTTTCTGGGTTTTTGTTTGGAGAAATACAGTTATCTCATCGTATAAGTTCTGTGATGATCTTCCTGTTGCCATGACTTCCTTCATCTTATTCTTCCCAGTTCCTTTAGCTAGAATCTTGCCCTCTTTTTCTAAATTATGACTTCCCTTTTTTTTGGAGAGGTTTTTGCTATAGGGCACGTGCGCTCGCCAGACAGACAGAGAGAGACATAGAGACAGAAAGCCAGAAATCACCTCCCAGTGGGGATGGTCACGCCACAATCCCTTCTCCTCCATTCTCCTCTTGGGATCTTGGGCATGCACGCACATGCACCCGGCATGAGTTTTTAAGCCACCGGGTCCAGGACGCGAACCGTGGTCGACTACGTGGGAGTCCAGCAACATAGCCATTACGCTAACTGCTGGTTCCCATGACTTCCCTTTAATACCCACCCCTAAATGAACCATTCTGAGCTGCAGTATGACTTTCATAGACCCTAGACACGTCTGTCTCCATGGGCCCCTTTCCACTGGATAATTTTTTAAAAATCTATTTTACAATTGCATTGGTATAAGGAAAAATATACCCAGGAGTAAAATTAATTTTTTATTTTCCGTGTGAAAGAAATGAAAACATTCTCACAGGCCCCTTAAAGTATCATGAGTCCTGGGACCTAGTTCCTGTGTCTCATGGGTAACAAGCCGTACCTGGTACCTGCTCCATAAATCATCCATAAAAGGAGGAAATGTGTCTCCTTTCATTGTTTGCTCACTTGCACAAGTCTTACCTTACACAGTTGCCCCTGTGAAGTGACACGATACGTACACAGGCCTAGTTCTTTGCTGTAGCAATTGCCCATATTGACAGCTATTTATATTTAAACTGACATTGGTCATCAACTATCATGACTCAGTATTATACAGTTATCTACCTGTTAATGAATTCCTTGAACTGCAAACTTCTAGAGAGCTGGAAGCATGGTTTGGTTTTTCATTTCTTTGCTTTTTTTTCTTGTTGTTTTACTTTGCTTTTTTTCCCATTTGTTTATTTGAATTTTTCTTTCTTTTTTTCTTTCTTTTTTTCTTTACTTTTTTATTTTTCTTTGTGAGGGGATGCCTGGATTGGGAGTATGTATTAGACCAATGGTCCTCAAACTAGAGCGTGCATTAGAATCACCTGGAGGAGCTGTTGAAGCACTGCTAGCTGAACCCCACCCATGAGTTCCTGACTCAGAAAGTTTGGGGCAGGGCTGATAATTGGCACTTCTAATAAGTGCTTGTGTGCCACTATACTTCTGGTATTAGGACACCATTTAGAAAGCCACCCTTTCAGACAACTTTGCATCTTCCCCAAGTCTAGCACCAAGGGAAGTTTCTAATACATTTAGAGTAAATATTTACATAAAATGGTAATATGCATACTGGTGGGAAAATCTATCCCTCCACCCATCACTAGAAAAGCTTCCTGATTGCAGGGGCTGAGCAGAACAGGATGAGCAAAGAAATCCCCTTGAGAGAAGAGGGGCTAGTGGCACGGCTGAGCGTCGAATGTCATCTGTTGGATTTCAGGGGCATGTGCAACATGCAGCAAGAAGCCAGACACCGTCTCTGCCAACTCACGGCTGCCTGAGTTCTCAGCTTAATCTACAGCAATGCCAGCAGTGCTGCTGGGTACATCTGCTACTCTTTCTGATAACGTATCTGAGGTCTCTCTGGAAGGAAACAGCTTGGCAGGAAGAAAGATTAGGCCAACAGAAAATGTCCGGATTTAGAAGTTGCACTGGAATATGGTACCGCTTTAATTCCTTATGTACTTTATTAACCCCCAGCAGGCTTGTTTCCTCTGTGTAGTTTTTTTTTTTTTTAATGTATTTTTTTTGTTTTGTTTTTGTTTTTTTAATCAGGAAATATAATTTGTGAATCCCAGAGCTTTCTTGGACATACTCTGTTTTAACACATTTTGTTTTTTGTTGTTGTTTGTTTTGTTTTTTAGAGAAATTTTTGCTATAGGGCGGGTGTGCTTGTCAGAGAGACAGAAAGCGAGAAATCAGGGAGCATGGCCACACCACAATCGCTTCTCCTTTATTCTCCTCTTGGGATCTTGGGCACACATGCACATGTGCCCTGCGTGAGTTTTAAGCCGCCGGGTCTGGGACTTGAATCGTAGTCGACCAAGTGGGAGTCCAGCGACATAACTGTTATGCCATCTGCTGGACCCTCAACACAATTTGAATTCTACAGAACATAATATGAAAAGAAGGCGTGAGATCTTCTAGCCCAACCCACTGATTTTAGGGATGAAGAAACTTATATCTAGGGTTAATCATAAAATATATAACCAGTAATAGTGGAGCCAGGCTGGAATCCAGATTCCTTGACTCTTTGTGATATGGATAGTCCTTTACACGCATTAACAGAGCAGGAAAGAGATATCTCTCTCCCACTATGTCTTAAGGAAGAAACATGATTTCCCTTTTAAGTTATTTTTCATAATTTGCTTCCTCCTTTTATTAAAGTTTATGTATCTTTACCATGAGCAAGTGAGACAGAGAGAGATATCTCCCCAACAGGGTCTTGACACAGCTCTCCAACCCCAGCCTCAAGCAGCCCTAGGTCATGAACATGCGCTTACCTAACGTACTCAGAAAGGTCACAAACCTGGGACATTCACATGTGGGTCAACCTTTCAGAGTGTCGCGTTTTACCGTTTTGCCAAGGTTGGGTGTAATTTACCCTTTTGTTGTTGGAGCAGGAGGGTTTTATAAGAGCAAATAAAGAGAAATGAAGAACCCCAAATGGTTTAGGCAGAGACTAAATGCTTGGAAACAGCAATGACGCCCTGTTCCCTGCTCTGTATAGCCATTGGCTATCCAGAAATACAGCACAGAGCAAATCCTCAAAAACCATATGGTGACTGAATCATGGATTTGATGGTTACTTACCAACTTTTCTGCCAATTAGGGAATGAAGATTTCACACTAGGATTTTCAGCCAGCTATAGAGTCTCCTATCCCTACCAGTAAATTAGGTATTTATACAAAACTAGAAAACAGCTTCTCTATGCTAAGCAGTGTCAGCCAGAAATGTATAAGCTTCGGAGATGGAAAGCATGGAATTCCAGAGCAGTCACTTTGGTTACTTAATTCTAGGCAACTTAGAGAACCTTTCTGTTTCTTGAGTTTCATGTCCCCCAATGCAAACACACACACACACACACACACACACACAGACACACACCTTTTGTTCTCTATGCCAATGTGTAAGGATGAAATAAGATAATGTGTGCAAACTGCCTTGTACATGGTAGGTGTCGAATAAATGATAGTGTCATCCTTCAGTTTCCACTGCCTATTTAAGAGTCATATGGGATAATGTGTGCAAACTGCCTTGTACATGGTAGGTGTCGAATAAACGATAGTGTCACCCTTCAGTTTCCACTGCCTGTTTAAGAGTCACATAAAAACCTCTCAAAAAAAAAAAAAAGAGTCATATGGGGGGGACCAGCAGTTAATGTAATAGCAATGTCGCTGGACTCCCATGTAGTTGATTGTGATTCGTGTCCCGGACCCAGTGGCTTAAAACTCACGCCAGGTGCGTGTGCGTGCGTGCCCAAGATCCCGAGAGGAGAATGGAGGAGAAGGGATTGTGGCGTGACCATCCCCTCTGGGGGGTGATTTCTCGCTTTCTGTCTCTATGTCTCTCTCTGTCTGTCTGTCTGGCGAGCGCACGCACCCTATGTCAAAAACCTCTCCAAAAAAGAGTCACATGGGTATTGAAGTAGGTGGGGTAGAGGGTCAGAAACGTAGATATAAGATTGAATAAAAATTGAAAGGCCTTTTTTGGTTAAAAATATATACAGGGGACTTTAAAACATGTGTGGAAAAATACAATTAAAGTACAAGTTTATTTTGGTGCAAAGAAATTTTGAAATTCATGCATAACTTTTTTATACTACATGTTTACCATGAACTTTTTGAAGACTTCCTTACACAAATCATAATTATTTTAGTTTTCTAGCAGCTGCTTTTACCAATGATAAATAAATACAATAAATAAATAAATAAATATAAGCAAAGCTCCTATCATCCAGGCATTCTCTGTATTTCATAATTCCTCACTATTTTCCAGGTTTCTGCAAAAAACGGTTTTCACGGAAAAGAAAAAATAAATTTAGTTTTCTGCTTACCCGTTTGGTCTTGGTTTCCTGATTCTGGGCTCAAGGAACTCTGTCTCCTCCTCCATTTCCGTTTCAGGGGCTATGCTTCTCTGAGGAGGCTGTGGTGAAAGCATTTCCCATTCATTGTCATGGGTGACAGGCTGCAACATAACTTCATCTGGGCCAACCCTGCCTCGGCCCCTGCTCTTCCGTGATTGGGTGACCACACCAGAAGCTTCCTCTAGTGCTAAAGATTCTAAAGACTTCATTTCTCCCAGATCCTGCACCCGGGGACTGTCACGCAGGCCAAGATCAGAAAAGGGCTCCTCAGCTTTGTCAACCCATCCAGGCTCTGGGTCCCTGACTACCAAGGGTGGATCACCAACCTCTCGATGGCCCAGGACCATCCAGCTCTGGCCTTGCACAAGGCTTTCAAGAGATGAGCTTCTGTCATTTTTCGAAGGCATTCTCTCTACAGAAGGATCGTTTCTTTCACTTAAGGAGGCAGGCTGACAGGTTTCTGGGAGGTTTGCTAACTGGGTTTCTGGCAGCCCTGTTTCTTCGAGACCTGTTTGTGATTTTTCTAATTCAGATATGCTTTCTCTTGCTTCGTGGGCCTGTGGTGTCAGGGGTGAATTTTCTTCATGGTTTATAAGGATGTAATCCATTTGTAGGGCATGCTGATTCTCATTCTCCTCTGCACATCTTTCTTCCATGTATTCTGACTGCTTCTGCTCAGGTTCTTTGGCAGGGGTTATTTTATCCTCTTCTAGCTGTGACATTCCCTTGCTGGCACCTAGAAGTTGAAATTGAAGGTGTGAATGGGGGAGAAAAAGTTTTAATTAACACATTATGTGATCTGTGAACTCTGCAAAGTGATCATCTAAAAATAGACCATTTAAGAAGTATTTTTATTTTGTGGAGCTGTTTAGTTTTCTCATGCACTGTAGCAGACAGGTGTCACACAGGCATTAGCTTTTATTGCTGCGATACAGGATTTGGTTAAGCCTACATTGCAAATAGCTAGTTCCTCTCTACCCTTCTTGGTAGGGAGAGTGTGTTGAACACACGCACAAGTTTAATTAAGTCAGAGGTTTCTTTGGGGTTGTGGAAATGGGATGTTCTTACCATCTGGTGGTGCGATGTCTCCACCTGCTGGCGAATCAGAAAGCTCTGTTTCTACTTCCCAGTCAATGTTTGATGGAGACGAAATGTCGGAGCCAGCTCCTACAGGCATAGAAACGGACTCTGAGTCTTCGTGAATGTGCAGCACAACCAGCCGGGACCCAGGCTCTCTGTTTTCAGTGTCAGCATCGTTTTCCTCACTTTGTCCATCGGTAAGAGTAGAAAGCAGTATCTGTGCTGCTTCACTCCCCAGAGATTCATCCTCTGGAGACCCAACTGCCTCTCCGGTTTCAGCACCGTGGGTAGGTTCTGTGAGATAGGACAAATCAAAAGGTGGTGTGTATGGTGCCAGGGATTGCTTCTGGATATCTTCCTCCAAGGGAGGGTCACCGCCATAGAGGAAGTATTCAGGCTCTTTCATGAAATCTTCATCGATATTCTGGCCCATTACATCGTATTCAAAATCGCCCCACGAGGCTTCAGATGAGCAGATATCGTGCTTTCCCGCATCCCCCTCAAGTGGTGTTTCAGGGTGACCTTCTGAGAATGTCAATCTACTCATGTCATCTACTGTTCCTGTGGATGTGTTGAGACCTGAGGCATCGCTGAAACTGTGGTCAAAAGCAGCTTCGCTTATATCCAGACAAGTGTCTGGAGCTAGCAAAGCATCAGTAACTGTAGCAGGGTTCTCAATGGCAAGAGGTTGCTCACAGTCAAACAAGACTCTTGCACCTGTCTGACCTTCAGGAGAAAAGCCCTCTGATGCCCAAGAGCTGTTGTCTCCCATAGCTGGCTCTTGGTGAGTTACAAAACCAGGGCTTCCCACAGTTTCAATCCTTGGGACGGTCCTGTCAGTGGGTTCTAAAATTGGTGCTGTATCTGGGTTGGTTCCATTTTCTGATGCTTTTGATCCTGAACTGCGGTCATCATTTATTTCAGAAGGATCAGGGGAACCTGAATTAGAAGGAGGCTGAGATGAGCCATTAATGTCTGCCTGATTGCCAACTGGAGACAGTGGAATTGCATTTTCAGAATGGAGTTCTGAATTACATGGGACAAATTCCTTCCTGGGCTCCTGACTAGGCTCTTTGTTCTCCTTTGGTTCAGTGAAATAAAATTCACCGGATCCTCCTTCAGGTCCCATGAAAGCTCTGTTGTGCTGCTCAGTCTCTTGCATGACTTCAGAATCATGACATATATCAGGGCTGTTCGAAGCCTGAGAATTGCTGTCATGGTCACAATGAGTCAGTAGATCAGGATTCTCACCATCTGCTTTCAAACTGAAGGGCTGCTTAGCATCCACCCACAAGTCAGGTGAAGCTGAGGCCAACTGCCCACCCTCTTGGAAGTTGCCATGTAAAATATCCGGAACAAAGTTACCTTGGGAGCCATCGCTATGGGCACAGTCATTCCAGTCAGAGCCTGACTTTTTTATCAACTGAGTGGAAAAATTGACAGCAGGGAAATTTTCTGTAGCAAGCCTTGAATGTGTCATTTCATCGAGGTATGATTTTTCTTGTTCCCACCAATTTGTTTCTTGACATTCAATAGTTGAGACATTAGCTCCAACACATTCATTCTCATCGTGGTGAGTAAATGCAGGGGCTGACTGATCCCAGACCAATGGTACTGTATCTTGACCATGCGGTTGGGTAGTTGCTTCAGAAGGGAGTCCATCCACAGCTGAAGACACAAAGGTTTGCTCTCTTGAATTCTTTTCTTTAATTTGGTCCAATATGACAAGCTGGCTAAACTGATCAGCATCTGAGTCTGGCTGCCGTGGTTGGATGTTCCAAAGTTGCTTGTGAGAGTTTGCCTCTCTGCTATCCAGAAAGGGTGACTGGTGTTGATTGCTGAAAGGATTAGTGTGGTGTGTTTCTGTGGATTCACTATCACCCTGAGTGGGTACTCTCCATGGACCCGCATTTTGGTATGCTGAAGCATTTGCTTCTAACACTCCACTTGAGTTGGACAGTCCCCCTTCAAATGCACTCTGTATGGGTTTCCCTTCCTGTGGCAAGGCATTCCACCACTCAGTGCTGTCAGCTGAGAAGCCAAGCATTTCCAGTTTAGAATCATGTTCATTCTTTGGTTCTGTTTTAGGAGATATTTGCCAGGTGACATCTCCTGTCTTCTGTGTTTCTGGAGATCTTGTCTTCTTCTCCATGGCAGTAATCCGTATTTCAGTCTCTGTTAGTGGTGAGAAACTCCACTGATCAGGGCTGCTCTGGTGATTGTCACTGAATGGGCTTGACTGAGCTTCATTCTCTGGTGGCTCTGCACTGTCTATATAGTTAGAAAATCTCTCCAACTTGGTATCCGCTGTGGCCATAAACTGATCAGACTCATTTGACGAATCCCAAGCTCTAGACTCGCACTGAGCAAGTTGTCCAGTGGCCAAATGAATGCCCTTCCCCACTGACTTTTCGTGGCCTACCCCATCATCATTAGAACCTGAGCTTGGTGAAATGACCTTGCCATCCTCCGGGTGTGCGGTTTCAGGAATGTCATGTTCACTTTTCTCCTGAAGGCTAACCATTAGATTTCCTTCCTCACATGCCCCTGAATATTCAGAAAATTTGTCTGTTTCAGGGCTGGATAAAGAGGATAAAGAATCACCATGAACTGGGTCATTCCAAATCTCTAAAAATTTGGGAACCTTAGAATTCAACTCCTCCATTCTGTCTTTCTTTAAGTCTGTCACTTTGGTAATTATTTCTACTTGGTCACCAGCAGTAATTTGTTCAGATTCTTGGCAATTCTGTTCACTCCAATCATCTCGATTCTCTTCCTGAAACTCAGTATGGGGCCCATGGTCCCAGGAAGGCAATACAGTGGAAGAATCATTTAGGTCAGGACTTGATGCACTTGAATGAGTACACTCACTAGAAATGCTATCTCTGTCATAGTTTCCAGATGACCTGGCCCCTGGAAGACTGTTCTCAGTACCCTTAACCTCAAGATCCTTAGTTATTTGAGAATTGATGCAATTGACCTGAACATCACTGTCTTTAGGGGCATCCCGAATATCATGGTTTTGGGTAAATTCATGATATGACCCTTGATTTATCTTCTCTGGCTCCAGAATGATACATTCTTCAGTTTTCTCAAGGTTCATTTCAGGCAAAGAGACATTTTTTGTTAAAGTCATTCTATCTGAAATCTCAGAAATCTTAGAAAGCACAAGGGGATTTTCATAAATATCTTTTGCCTCTAGGTTATTTGTGGACAACTCTGTTTGTCTTTCACAGGAGTCTAGAGTATAAGACCCCATATCATGCTCTGCAACTTCCTCTGGTTCCTTTGTTTGAGGACTGAAGGTGACTGAAAGAGAGCTGATCTGACCTGATTCAGTACAGACTTCTTGATGTTCAGGTGCAACTGGAGAAGAGAGTTCTTGGTCCGCTGGCCCTTTTCTAGACGTCCCTGAGGCACTATCCAGCCCAAAGCCTACCCCTGCCTCCTCTTCAAAGCACCCTTTGTCAGTGGCTCCATCACCTTCCTTCTCATTTTCACTTTGTCCATAACTGTGACCTGTCCTTGAATCTGAATGCCCTAGATTCTCAAGGCTGGTCCCCAAGGATGTGGTTTCACCTTGCAGGGCTTCCTCCCATGTGGCTTGGTTGTTGGAATGAGGTATGAGTGCTCCTGACTCACTGGTTCTAGATGTTTCTAGCACATATGGGATGTGACTATCCTTACCATTTGCTGAATGGTCGAGTGTTTCAGGAGGCAATTTGTTTTGCCCCGGATCTGTAATATGTGGTGGGCCTGGCATCACAAATGATGACATGTCTTTCTCTCTCATGACAGAATCCCAAATACTGTTTGCAATCAGTTGCCCACTCTTCTCATTCAGTGTGTGATGTTCATTGGGGGCAGTGTCAATGGTGTGTTCAGCAGAAGCAGGGAGTTCCCAATCTATCTGATTTGCTTCCTGATACTCCACACCCCAAGGTTCCAGCTGTCTCACTGAAAATCGGGTTTCTGGTTCAGCAACTTCAGCCATGTATCCTGCTCCTTGACCATCACTGGGGAGGGCCACACTCCCGCTGCAGTCATCCCAGTCCAGATCATTATCCATATCTGAGATTGTTGCAGTGGACTGAGTGTCCTCCAGGATCACTCTGTTCCACAGGTCAAGATTGTCAGGGGCTGCCTGCCGGGAGTTGGTGCTGCTGTGCAGAAGTGTGAGCTGTCGGTTTGTTTCGTTGTACAGCTGCATCATGCTAGGGTCATCATAACTGGACTGGCTGCTCTCCCCTACATCATCCTCCATGGAGATGTTCTTATCATCTGTGCGCTCTGTCTTGAGTACGTCTTTATCTGGGTTCTGAATGGCATTTACTTCAGGACTATTATCTGCTTCAGGGGAAGCCCACATGTCTAAGTTCCCAGGACCTGAACTAATTCGATATCTGGGTGGTGGCTGCAGTGACTGAGGTGGAATTTCAGCCTCCTCTGTGATAGAATTAGCATCTTTGGACTCAAAACCTTCCTCTTTAGCAAAAGGCTTGTTTTCGGCTTCTTTTTCATCTCCAGCAAATGTGGGTGATGTGTAAGAGTCAGAGGTAGAGTAGTTGGTATCTAAGGGGGAAGGCACTGAGTCTTCTCCTACATTGGATGCGCTATAATCAGAGCATTTATATGATAAGAAGGAATCTTCCCAAGGAGCTAGGGCATCTGACCCTCCTTTCTTAATACTCTCCTCAAAGATGTTCCAGGAATCCACCTTTTCATATACCCTCTCCCTAGTTTTAGGATTCACTAAACCATTCTGATCTTCCTTTGGTGGCTTAGAATTATTCCATGTGTGATCCAGATCAGAAATTGGATTTCCAGATACAAGAATATTATCCCTAGAGTCATGGTTCTTTTTGCCCCAGATATCAGGCGCTGCTGATTCATGATTTGCCTCACTGGGAGAATTGTCCAGTAAGTCTTCTGAAGGAAAAGAAAACCCACTTTTTGCCATGGCCCACTCATGTGGGTCCCTCACAGAAGGTGGTTCACTACTTGTCGGGTGCAGATTCCAAGTCTTTTTTAAAGCTTCAGTATTATCTTCTTTACTAAATGCACTCCAGGCTGGAAATGACACTGCAACTCCTGGTTCACCTTCCTCTGTAGGATTTCCCCATGGCTCAGGCATTGCTGTGGGAGACCGACCAGAATGCCACAAAGCAGCAAAGTCTTCTATCAGGTGGTTTGTTTTCTGAGGAGAAGTATTTGGCGAATGTGATTTCTCAGTAGGCAGGTTCTGAAACTGTAAGCTTTCCTCATTTTGGTTTTGATTATCATTGCTACCCAATTCAGGCTGACCAAATCCAGATTCCCAGGGTCCTGGCTTTGAAAATTCAAGACTCTTGGGTTGAAATACAGAAGATGAGGTTCTCCTCTCAGCTGGGTTTGGCTTATGGTCTTTCCATGATTCAGGGCTCTGGAAGACAGACTCCTGTTCACTGGAGTTCCATGCATCTGCAATATTTTTAGAGTCAAGCTCCAAATCACCCCACCAACTGCTACATCGTGCACGGGTCTGAGGCAGCCCTGTGTGACCTGCATCGATTGCTTTTGGCGTCATAACTTCTGGATAAAGTGAAGCTGGTTCTTCAGTGGATGGTGAGCTCTCTATAAAGCTATTCATAGGTGTTGGTGGAATCCTCTTTCCGATATCTTTCAGCCTTTCTGGGGAAGGAGATTCATCTCCCACAAAGCCTGTCAAGTTCAAATTTCTTTCAGAGTTATCTCCAGGACTTTCTTGTCTCTGGACAAACTCCTCACCAAATTCCATGAGGCTATCTTTGCCAGCTCCTGACAAAAGTGACTTGGATGAATAATTTGAAATATTGATGCCTAATCCATCGAGTCCTTTAGGCCCAGTGGGGAGCTGCCCTTCTGATGAATCACTGTTGGGGAAGAAGTCATCTGCAGGGGAGGAGTTTGCAGAATGGGATGATGGTTGGGACTGCCCAGAAACCAGAGGTGCTGGGTCAAAGTTGAAGAGGTCAAAGTGTTCACCATGTTCTCCAGACCGTGTGTGCTCTTCTGCTACCACTCCTTCCGGGATGGGACTGTAGGAGTCAAACCCTGGGAGTAGGCTATGGTGGGGCACTGCACCTTCTCCCACCGGACTATCATCACTGAGGAACACTGAGCTCTCCTTAGAGGAGCGGCTGCTCCTGATGGTGGCCAATCCACTATCTGGGCTAACAAGGTCAACATTGACATCCACCTGAGCCTGATTAGAATCATTGAGATCTGGAGGGTTTTCTATGAAATTCACAGAGCTAGGCTGAGGCTCAATGTCAGAACCATACAACTCCATAATCCCAGAAGATCCCTGGGAGAGCGGGGCACTGCCTGCCACTGCTTCTGTGGAGGAGGTCCGGCTGTTGGAGACCATCTCTGGGCACCTCCTGTTGATGACTTCCTTGACAAGGAGAACCACCTGGTCACAGGTCACTGAAGGGTCCTCCTGCTGGTACACCAGGATCTCATCACAACCACACTCAAAGGGCTCCAGTTCCAGGCAAGGGTTCTGACTCTCTTCCAGCTCACAGCAAATCTGTTAGAGGCACAGAATTTGTGATCACTTAGGCATTCTTGTACATTGCAATTTGTCTTTCTCATTTTTAATGTGCAACATTTCTTAATATAAAATTAATTGATGTTCATTTTTAGAAAAGTCTAAAAAGATCTCCAACAACCAAGGATTATATGGGGAAAAGCATGGGAAGTCTCAACTCCTTCTCCAGTCCTGTCAAATTGTCTTTTCATTTAACTCAAAATATAGCTGCTAGATTACTCTAGTTCCTGATAGTTCTGGGTAAAGAGGTTTAAAATAATCTAACTTCTTTCCTCACTGTAATATGGTGTATCTTCAAAAAACTTCAGGGAAAATGCATATTATGAAAAACCTGTGGTATTAGCCCTATGGCCTAGTAGTTAAGGGAGCCAGATGCTACATGGCCGACAGTGTTTCAAGTCCTACACTTGGTGCTTGAAAAACACGCCATGCACGTGGGGATGTGTGCCACAAAGTCTGTCAGGATGGAAAATGGAGAAGAAAGGATTGCAAAGTGACCACGCTTGGGGTGTGGTCTTTCTCCTCTTCCTTTCTCTCTCTCTCTCTCTCTCTCTTTAATGCGCACATGTGCTCTCTGACAACTAAGAAAAAGATGTAGAAAAAGGAAAAAAACTAAACAGGGATATGAACATTCTTTCACCAAAATAAACTCATACTTTGATTCCATTTTCCACAAACTTTTGGAAATACCCTCATATAACACCATCTTTCAACAGGAATGAAACTCCAGTTTGCAGAGAATGCTGGTCTCTGACAAAAACATGGGGCCAAATTTGGGAATAAGGGGAAATGGGACAGGAGAAAAACTTTTGTTTAGAAGCAATTGATTTAACCTCTGATAACCTTATCAGGCAAAGGAGAAAGTAGATAAGAGAAAGAAGTTACCAGGGCTGAGATTTCCAGACAGTACTCAGACCTCATGTGTCTCTTCCCGCTCCAGGGAACACAGACCTGGAGCCCAGAAGCAATAAAGCTGACCTGGGAGGCAGGAGCCACTGTTGCAGATAGTGCTGGCCAGACTGATCTGTGGCTCTGTAATTTTTAGAAAATGTCAGGAGTGGGGCCAGTAGATGGTGTGGTGGTTAAAGTGCTGGACTCCCACATGGTTGACCATGGTTTGAGTCTCAGACTCGGTGGCTTGAAAAATCACGCTGGTCACATGTGTGTGTATGCTCAAAATTCTGAGAGGAGATGGGAGGAAAAGAGATTGAAGCACGGCCATTCCCCGCCCCCTTCCTAGGTATGATTTCTCACTTTCCCTCTTTGAATCTCTCTGTCTCCTTTCCAGTGAACACACATGCTCTATGACAAAAAAGTAAAATAAATAAATAAAAAGAAAGAAAGAAAACATCAGCAGTATTTTACCATCCCAGGCCTTTGAAATGGCTCCATATTAGTGGAGGTAAAAATATTTGGTAGCTGAAAAAGTCATGATGCATTTTTCTGTGTTTTTCTGAGCAAATATGTTTTATAACTTTTCTGATGACCCAATATGAATGACAACAGCCTCAGAGTGCACCTACATGCTGCTACTACTAATAATAATTAAGGAACTAATAATAATAAAATTAATTAATTTATTGAGTGTTTTCATATTGCACGCATAGTTCCGAGAGTTTTATTATGAGCATTACCTCCTTTCGCCTTCACGGTAATAGACAATGTAGGGACTCTTTTTTTTTTTTTGGAGAAGTATTTGCTACAGGGCGTGTGTGCTTGCCAGAAAGACAGAGAGAGACAGAAAGTGAGAAATTACCCCCTCAGGGGGATGGCCATGCTGCAATCCCCTCTCCTCCATTCTCCTCTTGGGATCTTGGGCATGCACGCACACGCTCCTGGCGTGAGTTTAAGCCACCAGGTCCGGGACTCAAACTGAAGTTGACTACATGGGAGTTCAGTGACAAGGCCATTATGCTAACTGCTGGTGCCAGTAGGGACTCTTTTTATCCCCATTTTACTCATGAGGAAATGAAGACACAGGAGAGTTAAATAACTAGTCCAATAATACACAGCTAACAAGTGCTAGAGCCTGAGTTTTGAACTCAAGCCATCAGGCTGCAGAGCTAGCTCTTAACCAACTATATGAGCCCAGGGACAAAGAAGGACTTCCTGAGGCAAGGTCTTGACTCTGACGATGTTGTGCAAGATTCCCAGGAGCTGCCCTTTGGGTACTGCGAGGATGGGGAGGTTTGATAGGGGGAGGAGAAGAGGAGTGAAGTTGGTTCAAGGGCTTTTAACCCCTCCTCTGCCCATCTACTTTTATCTATTTTAAATCAACCAATGTGGGGGCCCTCCCCATAGCCTAGTGATTAAAGGAGCTGATCCCCCACGGCTGAGAATGGTTTAAATCCTAGCCTCAGTGGCTTGAAAAACACACCAGACATGTGCTTGCACACTTCAAATCCCAATAGAATAGAGAAATGGAGGAAAAACGATTGCAGTATAACTATCTCCCCTTTCTCTTTTTGTCTGTCTCTCTCTGGTGAGCACATGCACCCTCTGACAAGCGAAATAAATATATAAACCAGTTTTCTAAACAGGTTCTGCTGCTGGGACCAGCAGTTAGCATAAGGTCTATGTCGCTGATTCCCATGTAGCCGACTGCGGTTCAAGTCCCAGACCCGGTGGCTTAAACTCACACCGGGTACGTGTGCATGCGTGCCCAAGATCCTGAGAGAATGGAGGAGAAGGGATTGTGGCGTGGCCATCCCCCCTGGGGGGTGATTTCTTGCTTTCTGTCTCTCTGTCTCTCTTTGTCTCTCTGGTGAGTGCACACACCCTATAGCAAAAACCTCTCCCCCCAAAAAAGTTCTGCTGCTAAAAGTGGTTTGAAAACTACCGTACTAGAGGCTTTGGAAGCCTAAATCCTGTCCCAAGGAAAACAGCAACCAAAGATAAAACTTGACTTTGAAACCAAACGTAGAGTAAACCACTGAAGAAAGCAGGCGGTGATGCAAGGCACAGACACATGTGGATCCGAGGGGGAAGGGTGCACATTGCATCTCCACAGGAGTGGGGGGCTCTTTCATATTTGGACTCAGGAGTACACAGAGAGCCCAGGAGCACCCATGGGAATGTACCAAGAACCAAGTGGAGCGTCTGGAGCACAGACAGGGAGGATGCAGGAAAGAAAGGAGCAGAGGTTACCTCCAACCGCCTGTGGATATACGAGGTACATAATCCACTAGGGCAGAAAGGTGAGTGACACAGTGTTCTACGCCCATGCAGTCCACATTAGGATGGATCGTCATGGTCTCCTATTGGTTATTAAGTACATCTGGTTTGATACATCCAGATAATGATTTTGGTCTAATTCTTTTTTCTTTCCTAGGCCTTGGGTTTACAGACTTGGGTTCAGTTATCAACCTAGAGGATCCAAGATGATCAGTTACTGTTTTAGTACCCAGAGATATGTTAACTTTGAAGCAACAGATCACCAGGTACTAAACTCTGGACACCAAAAGGTATTGAGCCAGGGGCAAAACTTGTTATACCAGGGAGCAATCCTAAAGGAAATCAGTAGATCTAAACTTCCTTTTTACGGATTTAGTTTAGAAGAGAAATGTTTAGGAAATTCTTCTTTATTTATTTTAATTTTTTAACAGTTTATTTACTGGGGTTGACAGATGGCATGGTGGTTAAGGGCACTGGACTCCCACATGGTCAACCACAGTTCAAGTCCTGGGTCTGGCGGCTTTCTTTCTCACTTTCCCTCTCTCTCTTTCTCACTCTGTCCCTCTTTGGTCAAAATTAAAAATAAATACATTTAAATGAAATAATTCTTTTTTAAAATTATTTTATTTAGCTTTATTTATTCATATGTTTTTTTATTTGATAAGAGGAGGACAGAGTGAGAGAGACAGGGAAAGTGAGAAAGCAAACCGCCAGATCCAGGGCTTGAACCATAGTCGGCCATGTGGGAGTCCAGCACCCTTAACCACCATGCCACCTGCCGGCCCCAAATAATTCTTTTTTAAAAAGGTTTATTTACTTCTTTCCTTCATGAGACCAGGGGTGGAGGGCAGCACCTCCAGCAGGGTCTCCACACTATATTCCTCCCCTAGCCTCAGCCAGCTAAGATCATGGACACACAAACACACACCCAGCAAGACCTATGGACTAAACTGGGTCCTTCCCATATGGCTCATTGCCGTGGACTGTTGTGTTACCTTTGTGCCACACAGCTAGCCCAGGGATCTTTTTAAGATCTAACGTACAAAATCCCCCCAATACTTCCTTCAACTCTAGGATCTTATCTCCTGAGCTTTTTTATTTATTTATTTATTTATTTATTTTTAGAAAGATTGTTACAAGGTGTGTGCGCTTGCCGGAGAGACAGAGAGACAGAAAGTGAGAAATCACCCCCCAAGGGGGATGGCCACGCCACAATCCCTTCTCCTCCAGTCTCCTCTTGGGATCTTGGGCATGCATGCATACTTGCCCAGTGTGAATTTCAAGCCACCGTGTCTGGGACTTGAACCATGGTCGACTACATGAGTGTCCAGTGACATAACCATTATGCCATCTGCTGGTCCCCTGAACCCATTTCTTACAAGCCAGCAGTCCATTCCCATCCTCCACTGCTCATTCTGAGAGCCAGCAGGTTAGGATGCAGAGGGTCATGTCAGTAGGAGGAGGAGCTCACCTGGCTGCACAGTTCCAGGTTCTCAGAGTACACAGCAATCTGTCGCCTCGGCTGCTGTTCCTCCGACAGGGAGCTGGCAAACAGGATGAGGACATCATAACCAAACTTGTCTGTAAATGCTTTCAAATCACTGGTGATGTTGCTGTGAAAAAGACAGTTCTGAAATGACAACAAAAATTCGATATGCATGTTAGATTATCCAGCTGTGGGGAGTTGTGCTACAAATCTATGCAGTCTTATGATGTGTTAGGACGGATAGTTTTGATTAGAGGCAAGTGAAATAAACACTTTGGTTTGAGAAAGTTTGGAAACCTTCATGCTATGGCTTCAAATACACTTTGCTTACTCATTTTTCCAAACGAGAGAGGAAGGAGTCTTTGCTATTATTATTAAGAATTGCGGGAACCAGCAGTTAGTGTAATGGCTAAGTTGCTGGACTCCCACGTAGTCGACCGCGGTTCGCGTCCCGGAC